CAAGCCTACACAGGAATTTCCTGTGCCAAAGACTCCACCAGAAATTGCCAACTCCCTGGGTTTGAGCCCCAAGTCACAAAACAGAGAGAAAGAGAGAGGTGAAGAGAAGGGGGAAACTGTACCCTAGAATTTCACTTGGTTGTGTTCATCTGGACTCTCAGACCAATCGCAGGGACCAGAATAGCTTACAGGAAGCAAGGAGTGTCCACTCCTTAGTCCCGAAGGAAGTGAGGACACCTGGCCCTGGACTTTCAGTCACTGGATGGGTCCCTATCTTATCTGAGCCTCAGTTTCTCAGTTGGGGGTCACTGCTGCACAGGACTTTGGGATGTTCGTCTGCAGGCCCCCTTCATGGCTGGATATTGACTAGGGAGGGGATGATGGCAGATGCTGGAACAGGGACAGCTGGGGGCCAAAGATGCAGCACAGAGGGGAGGAGAGGTGGCGGCGGCTCCCCAGGGGAAGCTGGGGGCTGCCATTTCCGGCCAGCCCAGCCTGTCCGCTGGCCCATCTGGAATCACTTAGCTCTACCACCATTAACCCTTGGTGGGCACAGGAGCTGTTTCTCCTACCACTGATGGTGGTGGGGGCAGGAGATCCAGAACTACACAGAGTGCCACAGGGTCCTTCCAAAGGATCATGAGGCTAAACTGTCACAGCTGAAGGTAGATTTGGCACCCAGAGACTAAAGTTGGGTCAGATTCCAGCCTCTCCGTTCCAGGCTGGAGGACCTGAATGAGCCTCAGTTTCCTGCTTTAGAACACAGGTAAGTCAGGGGCTGCCAAGATCGTCACTGTCCTCCAAAGCAGCATGGTGCCTGGAAAAGCGACAGGGCAAAGGTGGCTTCTCTCTTTCAGAGTACCCCATCACTAAGTGCTTCTGTACTTGCTGCTTCTTCACAGTTCTGTAGGGATGACGTAGCACCATCACGCTGGGGCGGCAAACATGGCCCTAGCCCCACTGTGGACAGAGCAAACCATGCACATCCACTCCCTGCCCATACCCTAGAAGCTAGTTTGGCTACAGTCAAACAGTGAGGGTGATGGGGAGAGCTCAGAGGGGGCTTGAGGTTTTGGGGCACCACACTTCTCACCCCCACAGTCTGACGGCATACTCAGGGGGTAAGGGCTGAGCTTACCAGCCCAGTTGCTTCTTAGCTGTATGACCCGCAGAATGCCCCAGCCTCGGGACTTTAAAATAGGGATACAAGTGCGTAGCTCACATGCTAGGAGAGGCATACAGGACCCACAGAGTTTGTTGCAAGCCCGAGGCAGAACAGTTAAGAGTGCTACAAAGAATAAGGGATCCTCAGGTATTCCCAGGAGCTGCTGTCACAGGAGTCCATGACCAGAGCTGGAGGGAGGCCTCTCCACACATTCATTTTACAGCGAAGTTAGGGGCCGTGACAGAAGCGGCTCATGCCAGGCCACGTGATCCTGCAGTGTGGGTCCAGATGTGACTGCAGCGAAGGCTGGCTCTCAACATTTACACTCACGTTCTGCCTTGGAGAGGGCGTCCAGACTATGTGCAAACCCTCAACATCTCCCTCACCATCAGAGCAGGAAGCAGCACTCCGTGGGGTGAGCCGAGGGGCCGGAAGGGGAGCCCCCGTGGGAGAAGTCCCAGCATTCACAAGGCAGGGCCAGCAGCTACCACAGCTGGCTCTCCCACGCTCCTGGAGCTGCCCTGAAAGCTCCCAGGGCAGGCATGGGGTGTGAGGAAGCAGCGCACGTCCCAGACCTTAGCTAGACCATCTCAAGTGTCATAAGGGCGTGTTCAGCACAAGTCATGGACGGGTCTGGAGGATGGAGGGTTTCATGGGGATATGCCTGAGTTTCAGGACCCCCAGCATCCTTCCCTACCACATGCAGTGAGCAGATAGTAGATCCTCTACCCATAGCAGGAAAGCCAGAGACTTATTAGAGCAGAAATCACAGCATGGAGACTCTTTGAGCAGGTGAGGGGAGCAGTGGGGACACAAGTCACCTTCCACAGAGACTCTTGGGACTTTTCTGACTGTCCTGGTCCAGGCTGTAGCGAGTGAATCAGGCCAGGATGGCAGGAGATCTGGAGTTCAGGACATGTCCATTCACACTTACCCCAGACCCCTGATTCATACTCCCCCGTGCCATCGCGGTGTCCCAGGACCACAGGGCACCATGGTGCATCCTCCTACCACATACAGAAGTCTTAAAGACAGTTGGTCAGTGGTGGCGCATGCCTTTAATCCCAGCACTAGGGAGGCTGAGGTAGGCAGATCTCTGGGAGTTTGAGACCAGCCTGGTCTACAAGAGCTAGTTCCAAGACAGGCTCCAAAACCACAGAGAAACCCTGTCTTGAAAAACCACAAAAAAGAAGAAGAAGAAGAAGAAGAAGAAGAAGAAGAAGTCTTAAAGACATACAGCAGGGCCCTTGAGGACTATATTGTTTCTCCCTCATGGGAACACTGGCTCTTAAGGTTCAGAGGGGGACAGAACCTGCTAGAAGGCACATAACAGGTCTTCTGTGGGGCCTCTCATGACTACACTTAGGCTGTCCTGTTTCTCCCATCATGCATTTGCATGAAGAAAGTTCACTGGGCACCTACCTACTATGTGACCAGCCCCTACATCCCTCAGAGCTCACCAGCAAACATCAAGGAAACAACACTGATACTAATATTTGGTTGGTACAAAAAAAGAGATTCAGAGAATACTGGGTTGGGCAGATGAGAGTTCTTATTAGGGTCTCAGAAGTTCCTTCGGGGAAGACATATTTCAGGTCCTACCTGAGGTTGAAAGCTCACACATGAATGGGAACAGTGTTTGAAGCAAAGGGAACAGCCTTTGCAAAATCTCTGAGGCTAGAAAGACCTTGAAGTGAGATATCGGAGGGAGAAAAGGTGAGGCTGAGATCTTATTAAGGATGGGGAGGTAGCTGAGGGCCAGCCTGAAGGCCTTGACGGCTTATGGCAGCCTGGCTTTTACCCTGAGACCGGTAAGTCTCTGCAGCTTAAAAATGGATACGACCAGGAACAGAGCGGAGTTTGAGGCTAGGCTGGCCTGCTGGGGAGCTTTCGGGCAACTGGGAGCCGGAGTTGAAACTTCTGGGTCCTGTCTGAGCTTTGACCATTGAGTCTCTGCCAATTTTTGTTTCTGGCACATCATTGACGCAGGACCCCTCTGATGAAGACAGTCTGTGCTTGCCCTGGGCCCTGGCTCTTGTGTCTCCTTTGGTCTCTGGGGTGTCTGGAGAAGGATGCTGCCTCTGTTTCCCAGCATAATAGTGGTTTCTGTCACCAGAGACTAGGCAGTAAGGGATAACTCCTCTTGTAATGCTCCAGAGTGACAGCAGGTGGCGACCGCACCTCTAGAGGGGCAGAAGGAGCACTGGCCAGGGTAGACAGGATCGTCTGAATGGCAAACATAATTCCAGGGAATCCGTCCACACATCGAGGTTCACCTCTACCTCTGAGACATGGACAGCCACCCCCATTTCCAAGGTGAAGAAAGGATCCAGAGAAGGGAATTGACGTGCCCAAGGACACAGAGCAAGGCTGAAGCTTGGTTGGCCCTTGGTCTGCTGTCTAGAGAGGAACTCAGGAGGCTAGGGGTGGGAGCCCGGTGGGTCTAACACTGACCCTGGTGCCTGCCAGTTTCTCTTAAGCAAAATATTTTCAGCAGAAACCTAGACCCAAACCTTTCTCTTTCAGAGCCATAAACCAAGTTATCAGTGAGATCTTTATGAGGCCTTCATCAGGGCACCCCACCCCAGGAGGCCCTGGTGTGAGAGCGGCCTGGTGTGAGAGCTTCCAGAGGGAAGAGGGAAGAAGGAGGGGCCCAATAAACAGCCACACCCAGAGATAAGGGGGCTTCCCAAAGGAAGAGGCTGGTTTAGGATAGGCGGGGACCATGCACAGTGGTCTTGCCATCTGCTACTACCAGTCCCGGTGGGCACATGGGAGGCAGGGGTTCAGGGTCTCGAGGTCAGATGGCAGGTCAGAGGTCAGAGGTGGAGGTATGGGCGCTACAGTTTCCAATCGGGGCTTTTAAATAAGGTTATGATATCTTTCGTTATGGAACTGGGGGGAGCCACATCCATGATGCTAAAACCTCTGATTGACGAGGGGGTCCACCAGGGGTGAAGGTGAGGAAAGCCTAGAAGCTCTTTTGCATGAAGAAGCCTGAGGAGGAAGAGGAACCAGCAATTTGTTTAAGCAAAATCCAGCTATCAGGTCGTGGGGTGGGTGGGGATGTAGACACACATTCGGGGTCACTCTCTATGCTTACCAGTCAACCATCTCTACAGAGGAGGGAAAAACTGCCAAATAGGTCATTGACTTGCTGTGTGACCCCAGGAAGGTGACTTTACCTCTCTGAATCCATGTTAATCTGAAAGAGAAAGCAAGGGTAACAGTCACCTCCATTTCCCTGGAAGGTGGTGAGGATGGGTGGAAGTGAAGTGCGGTTTGAGACCTCACTCTTAGCACCTGCTCAGTGCGTAGAAATGTCACTGTCACAAACCAGCCTGCCGCTTCAGAGAGAGGCAGCGAATACTCAGAATACTCAGAAAAGAAGGTGCACCCCAGGAGTGCCTGCAGAGTGAGGACATCCACCCCGGATTCCCTGACTGACTGCTCTTCCCTGCCATCGTCCCCTGCTACACTGACCTATATACCCTAAGCCACTACCAAATCCTGGCTATGCCTCAGCCACTCAGGATCCCTCTCCAGGTACGAGGGGTCGGGTGGGGCTCTCAGACAGTCCCCTTCTCCCCACTCAAGACTGGGTTATCAGTACTAGGGGAATATTCCTGGAACCCTCAGGGCCTCTGTTTGTACTTGGAGGACATTACCCTCCCCCACTCACCAGGCCCTCCCCCACATATCCTTCTTCAAGAGTTCTCTAGCCTTCTGTTCCTACCCAGAAATAAGATGTAGCATCCCCTTCCCTGTGAACATTTAGCATGCCTGGCCCCCAGCACTGAAGGCCTTCTGAGCACGGTGTCAGCACAGGTATGTAGGTCAGTCTGTACCTGTCAAATGAATGAATATAGAAACCAATGAATTTCTAATTTCAAATGCAAAGCCTCTCCATTAGGTGTGAACTAGAATACTCGGGATTAGAGGCCCTCACCAGAATGAGATCCCTCGCTGGAGGTATCCAGCAATCCCTGGCACACTTCCCCTTGGTGGCAAACTCACTCTCTGCAACCCCTCCTTCATGCTAACCTATGGTGAGCACTTCCTTCTGGACAGGTAGGTCAGGCTCCACACCTGCAGTTTTCCCGCCTTCAGGTCCCCGCCCTCCCTGCCAGGCCTTCACTTCCCACAACAGAAGCAGCCCTAGTTGTCCCAGCTGAGAGCAAAATTCCTCCCTCCCAGGCTTCATCTTCCACCCCTGTGTATCTCTTGGTTGGGCTCTCAGCGGAGCCCAGAATGTCAGATGTCTTCCAACGTGGGGAAGTGGTAGCCTCTCCCGCTGAGATGGCTGTGAGCTCCACTGTGTCATACACTCAGTCGTCATTATGAAGCATGAACAGAGTTTTCCCTCTCCTCCCTGGGCCTCCCTGCTTCCATCCGTTCAATGGGCAGTTTCCCCGGAGCTGGAAGAGAACCGCTAGGCTTACTGCTATGTGTAAGTGTGATTCTCATCAGGGACGCCTGCTCCGGCCAGTCGTCTGTACAGTCACACAGGGTTCAGTTTCAAAGGACCGCATGCTTGGCTGAATCCCACCACCATGAAATGCCAAGTTCATTTTGCACTGGGTCCTCCAGCAAGTTGCAGTGTGACCTTGACTCACCTGCCTGCCCTGAAGGGATGCTGCCTGGTCCTGGGAAGAGAAAGAAAGCATTAACAGCTAAGACCTGGTTCTGCCTTCTTTTGAGGGCTCACGCATCCTGGAATCCTGCGCATCTCGTGGCGCTAGGACAGGAGAGAAGATCAACTCTCAGAGGACTCTTTTGCACTGTTCCCTCCCTGGCCCCAAGCGCCATGCGGAGGGGTCCTCATCTACACTAGCCTTCCTGACCCAGAGACATCTTTTCTGAATCCTTCCCAATTCCTCAGCCATGCCCCCCCACCACTACCAGTCTCAATGATCCCCTTTCCCATTCAAGCAGCTGTGGGTTGTCTGCCTGTTTTCAATGGAGTAGGAGAGAACACACACAGACATTTAAAATGCCAGCGGGGCCCCACCCGTAGTCAATGAGGATCCATCAGGTCAACTGTAAAAACACACTTTTCCCAATCAGTTGGAGTACGTTGGCTATAAGCTGCATTAGACGATAAACACTCAGGAATTTGTCCATGTATTTTAGAGAATCGGGCTGACACGCGTAGGGGTAAAATGACATGAAGCCTGAAATTTGATTTAAAATGCTTTAGGAAAAAGGCAGTCGACGGGGGAAAAAGTGACAGAAACCTTATAATTACAGAAGCTGCACGGCGGGTTCATGATAAAACTCTGTTTTCATGTATAGTTGAAGCATCTCAACCAAAACGATAGTAAGGAAAGATAAGGAGCCGGGGAGAGCTTGTGAAGTTTCCCAAGGTGTCCCCAGAAATAGCCCACACCTTTGAGAAAACTCTCCGTGGAGCCACCAAGGGAAACACACTCAGTAGCAAGCAGACAGGCTATCTGCATATGCACATTCTCCGCAGCTTTCATCTGGGACCCGAGAGGTCGTGACCCCTGCCCCCCCCCCCAGACGCCCTCTACCTTACAGACGGAACCCCGTTTGAAGTCAGTCTTGCTCTTCCCCCCTCACCTCAAATTGGTGGTCACTGCTGACAGCGCCACAGGCTCCTTGTGCTGTGTGAGGTTGGCCTAAGGTCCTCCCCCACGCCCCTTGGAGTCAGTTTCTCCACCTGTAACCCAGGGTCGGTGATGGGGAGGTCCCCGCGACCACCGAAGGAGGAGTCGGAACCTGAAGCAAAGCCTGGAACCTCACCCAGGCCGCGCCCTCTGGGTCCCCAGCCCCCAGGCCCATCCACCTCCTGCTTAGGGCGGCAATTTGTCTCCTTTTGAACCCCTTCGCCCGACGGGCTTCCCCCTTTGATTCGCGGCCCCGAGGCTTCCCCCCGCTTTGAAATGCAAAGCCGCCCGGCTGGGGCCGCGGACGGCCCGCGGCTATAAAAGGCCGGGGTGGGGCGGGCGCGGCGGCGGCCGCGGGTCCAGGTGAGCAGTCGCTGGTCGTCGGGGCGGCCGACCGGCGCGGCGGCTCCAGGGCCCAGCATGCGCGGGGGACCCTGCGGTCACCATGTACGTGGGCTATGTGCTGGACAAGGACTCCCCCGTGTATCCAGGCCCTGCCAGGCCATCCAGCCTCGGTCTGGGCCCTCCGGGCTACGCGCCACCCGGCCCGGCGCCCGCACCCCCGCAGTACCCCGACTTCGCGGGTTACACGCACGTGGAGCCCGCGCCTGCGCCCCCTCCGACCTGGGCCGCGCCCTTCCCTGCGCCCAAGGACGACTGGGCAGCTGCCTATGGCCCGGGCCCCGGGGTCCCCGCCGCCAGCCCGGCCCCGCTGGCCTTTGGGCCCCCTCCGGACTTTAGCCCGGTGCCAGCGCCTCCCGGGCCTGGTCCTGGCCTCCTGGCGCAGTCCCTCGGCGGCCCGGGCGCACCGTCCTCGCCAGGAGCGCAGAGACGGACGCCCTACGAATGGATGCGGCGCAGCGTGGCGACCGCAGGCGGCGGTGGCAGCGGTAAGGACCCTTCTCCCGCCCTGGACCTTCTGACGGGCTCCTGGCCCTGGCAGGTGCCCAGGCTGCCCTCTCTTTGACCTCTGCCCTGGCCTTGACTGACTTCTCAAAAGAGTGTGGCCCACCACCACCTCTGCCCTGGGGAGTCATTTTGTTTCGCCCTTTCTTATCTAGGGGCTTTGCGAGCTTTGAGCAACACAACTGAATCCTTCTGTATAGATGGGGAGACTGCTACCCCGTGAAGAGAGGACACGGGTGTGTGTAAGTGGCAAGGCCGGAATTAGAAGGCCAGACGCCAAATCGCAGCAGCAGCATTGGCAATGGTGATCTTTCTTTCGTAGGTAGCTTCTTCCACTCCTAAACCCGCCACACGCACACCCAAGCACCTATCGGCTGTGGGAACGTGCACGGGTCACCTCTGCAGGACCAACTGGCTCCCTACCATACAGTGAAGAGATAGGAGCCTATCCTTTGGTTGACAAAGCCCCCATTGGTTGCATTGGTACAGGGGTCCCTACCTAGCCTCCCCAGGACTCTCCCTGAACTCTTGACCCCGGGGGAGGGGCAGTAGGAGCAGTTGGGAAGGTGGCTGCTGTTTGGCTCCTTAGCCTGTGAAGCTCCTGCCCCCAGGCAGGCCTCTCTGATCCACCCTCTTCAAAGGCAGGGGACGGGGCTGGACAAAGGTTCAGCTTACTGACGGACAGCCTGACCTTTCTAGGTGCCCCCCTTTGTCATGTTAACCGGCTTTGCTTTAGCTCAGTAGTGACTCCTGTTGGCAGGAAGGTATACAGGATACCTCATTGTCCAGATTGTGTTTGGCCTGTCCTGACAAAGGCCACCTGGCCTTGAGGGCGGGAAGCTGGCCTGCCTCCTCTTTGATGTTCAGCCCCTCCTTCCCTTCCCCCAGCTGGGAGCCGGCCCGGAACTTCCTCCACCTCCTCCCCATTCCCTCCATTTTTCCCACACACCCATCAACTCCTCTGGGCAGCTGCGGGGAGGGTTTGAGCCGTAGCAGCTCCTTAGCAGTCCAAGGGTCACAGAAGCTCCTGTCTGACTTCAGGGATGTTTGAGGGGCAAGGCTGGACCACTCACTTCTGGCCTTGAGTAATAGCAGTGGACATCTTGGAAGTCTTCCATGAGATACTGCTATGGGTGCTGTCCCTTCCTATTTGGAAGATGAAGACACTATGGTACAATGATGGTCAAAACTGGTCCAAGGCCCCAGCTGGGGACCAAACACCCTACCTGTGCCCTAATCCTCTGTCCAACCAATTCCCTGGATGGCTCACCTTTTCTTGGTCTCGTTTTATGGCCATTAACAAGGGACAGGGGAAAGTTACATGGCAACTTCTACCCTGCTTCAAGCTGCAAAAAAGAGTCTTGAAAAAGCTGATGGAGAAGATGATGGTTTCTCCTTTGGTAGATAATGTGGGCTCTCTCTCTCTCTCTCTCTCTCTCTCTCTCTCTCTCTCTCTCTCTCTCTGTGTGTGTGTGTGTGTGTGTGTAGGCCCTCTGAAGTCTTGTCCGTGAAAAGCATGGGGAAGAACTTCTCACTGAGTGACTGGGGAGGACGAATAGAGGCCTTGCCCCCCAGCACCCTGTGGTCCGCTATGGAAGTCTAGGAAGGCAGGCACCATTTCTAATCTCCCACTAGCACTTCCTGTGGGTCAGGTGGCTCTGGAGAAGGATGGGGAGATTCCCCTCGGGTAGAGCCTTGGAGAAAGGCCATCGTCGTGCAGCAGTGTGAGCAGGAAGGAGTGGGCAAGTAGGGTAGGAAAGGAGTGTAGTCTTCCAACTTGGGTGAGATCTGAGGTCCCACCAACCTCATTTACCGTTGGGCATGAACTCCAAGCCCAGTTCTACTCCCAGGCACCCGTCACTTATAGATTGTTCCCTGCATGCAGATAGGGCTGTGACTATCCAGAAGCAAAAGTGTTTTTCTCTTAGTACTGAGAGTAGAGGGCAGGACTTCGGGCTTGGATCCCAGGAGGCTTGAGGAAGACTTCTGAGGAACCAGACATTTGGCTGAGGATGCAAGAGGCTGGCCTTCTAGTCTGCTCAAGCCATGGGCTTCTCTCTCATGCTCCAGAAGGACTGAGAGAAAGCTGGGGGAGGGGGTCTGAGCTCTTCCCCCACCCCGGGAAAATCTCTTCTCCTCCCCCTCTTCTGCTCAGTTTTTCCTCCGCAGCACTGAAGGCACAGGTTTCCAGAGGGGACTCTTGTACAGTGCTGTTGTCTAGGACAGCTCAGGGAAGTTCACTGCATGCCCCCCCCCCCTTGCAGTGCCCAGTGACACTGGTCACACAGTCTTCAGCTTTCCTCCCTTCTCTCTGAGCTCCTGACATTCTAGAATGTCTGCTTTGGACAAGAGCAGATACACTGACGAGGAAAGTGAGGTCCCGAGGCTATAAGGAATGTTCCAGATGCAGATGAGTCCATTTAAATTTTTTTGTGTGGTTTCTCATCCTGTTTAGGATGAACAGCGCTCTCCTCCAGGAGACTCTATAACTCCCTGTTCTGGACCTCACCCCGGGCCACTCCCCTTGGCCACTAAGCTCCAGGACCCAGCCCACTTTGAACTTCGTGCCCGCCAAGTCTTCTTCAGGTCTTATGTCCAGGTTCTTTTCTCTTCCTTCTGACTATTTGCCCACCTGGCTCCTTCTCACCTTCAGTCCATAGCTGAATGAGAGGCCCTTTGTGATTCCCAAATTAGACTCCCCGCCTCCACTCCTTTGATGACTTCTCCTGGGTGTCTTTTAGAACAGCAACAAATTCCAACTTGTTCTCCTACATGCTGTCTGTTCCCAAAAGCTCCAGGGCCACGTCTGTCTGACCCAAACTGCCTGGGGGCACCAGCTCTGTGCCTGGCATCAATATGTGCTCAATACATTCCATTAGATGGATACACCAGGAAAATGAAGGGGCGGAGATGCCTCTGGAGACCAGAAGAGAAGAAAGAGCTCAACCTCCACAAGTTTCTAGGATCCCTCCCTAGGGGTTGGACCTATGACGGTCCAGGCAGCACTTCAGGCTAGTGGTTTGAAGCTTGGCTGTCTTCCCCACACTGGGTCAGAGCTCCTGACTCTAAGCAATAGGAGTCGCCAAGGCTAGACTGTGATTTGATTTGGTTTTATTCTAAGAAAGGGTGCCAGACAGAGGAGGTGGGGGGGGGGGGCTGGGGCGGGCTTCAGTTAGGCTATACTACACGAACAATTGTTAGCTGTCACTTCTGAGGCCAGGGTGCAGATAATTGCAAGGGGTTCCGTTGTCTGTCTGGCCACATGTGTTTAAAATATGAGTCTTGGCCCAACGATGGTAGCACATGCCTTTAATCCCAGCACTCGGGTGGCAGAGACAGGCGGATCTCTGTGAGTTCGAGGCCAGTCTGGTCTACAAGAGCTAGTTCCAGGACAGGTACCAAAACAACACAGAGAATTCCTATCTTGAAAAACAAAAGACAAAACAAAACAAAAACTTATGAGCCTTTCTGTCAGGAGGTTATAATTGTCCTTCGCCAGAGGCCCTGTTTAATCCCTCGTGGCTGAACACTGATTCACAGGCCTGGAAGATGTCTGCCCAGATGATGGGGTTATTGTAATGGGTTTGCATCCTGTCTAACCCCTCAGCTCCAGATGTGGAAAATGAGGCACACGAAAGGATGAACACAACCCCCGCCCCCATCCCTTACCCCATAACCACAGCCACTAACCTGGACTCTCCCTCTTACCTTTCATGACCTCTGCCCATCTTCTAAAGCACTGCCAGACCTCCCTTATTAGGGCAGGCACATGACTGCCCCTGGACCCCCATTTCTGGGTGCCCTGATTCTGAGGCATCTAGAGTCCTGTGGAAAACTGATCCCACTCAGTGTTGACACTCTCCTGGAAGTTTGCTTGGGGCCCAGGGACTTATTAGAACGTGCAGCTTGGGAGACTTACCTCTGGGGTTGCGTTGTATGTAGCTAGAGGCTCATTAGCTTGGATCGTTTCTTTTTTCTTCCTTCCTTCCTTTCTTTTGAATTTTATTTATTAGCATGGGGAGTTGCATGCTCACACCCCGTGTGGATTCCAGAAGACAGCTGTGTAGTCAGCCCTCTCCTTACCCCTTCCTGTAGGATCTAGGACTCAAACTCGAGTTGTCAACTTGAGTAGCAGGTGCTTTTTACCTCTGAGCCACTCCACCGGCCCCTATCTTGGATAATTTCTGGAAGCCCAGTGTTTGTAAAGCACAGCTCAGCATCAGGCGGGCCACTGGTGCTCAGTGTCACTTCTTGGCAGATTGTACAGCAGGCCTAAACCTCACACTTCCTGCCTCTACATCCTGGGCCCTTTTCCTGCCCTGCCCTCTCTACTGCATCTTTACCAGTTCAAATGCTGTGCCTTCTCCAAGGCCACCTCCTCCAGGAAACCTTGATTCTCCCGACTTCAGTGCAGCACTTGGAGTGACATACAGTTATAGCCTACGCACAGCCTCTTGTTTTAGCCATCTCTGTCACTATCTACCTCTGTCAAGTTGCTTATGCCTGCCAATTGCCACCTGTAATGCCATCAAGGACTAGTACTAATCAACCCTCTCCTGGCCAGGCTAGCACATGGTAGGAGTTCATCATGTAGTCACTATGCAAAGAGCTCCTCTTGGGTCAGTTCACTTAGATCTTATAACTACCCCAAGAGATGAACGGGTCTATTATTGGACACGTTTTACAGATAAAATTGAAGAGGCTTAGAGAGGTCATGTGGCCTACCCAAGCTCACACAGCTAGGGTATGGCGGCATATGGTTCTAGCCAGGATCCACAGCCTGCCGAGGGTCTGTCAAGTAAAGCAACAATCTCCAGCTCACGATCTCTCCTCTGCTGCATGCTTCCCAGCCAGTGCCCACCCAGGTGAGGAGAAAGAGGCCAGCCGGGAGGAACTGGGTAAGGTAGGTGGGAAGGAGAGGGAGAGAGAGAGAAGGAAGACTACATCTTTAAAGCTGGCTTTCCCTGCAGCAGAAGCCGCACCT